AAAAAAAAAAAAAAAAAAAAAAAAAAAAAAAAAGTAATTTTGTTCATATTATGTCCTCTTTGGAATTACAAAAAAAAAAATAGTTTATTGTAGCTTACATTGTCTATCTCTAGAGTCAAAACACTGTCCTTGCACCTGAACATCTCTTTTTAGTCCTCATATATAAATAAGACTGAGACTCAGAGAGAATATTAGCACCAAGTCACTCAGCTAGTAATTTTATCTGACTCCAAAGAGAATAACTTAACTACTGTATTCCTATATTGTGTTTGATTTGATGCTTTGATACTTTTGTAGCAAAAACAGTCATTTTACTGGTTTTCCTTTGCTACATATTTTTAGGTTAAATTAGTTAGGTAAGGGTACTGGGGTCTTTATTACGCAAACATGTAGCTATTAAGCTGTCCCTGGCATCCCTTCCCTGGCAGTGGTTTAGGTTTGGAACCTGTCTTCCATACTAGGCAATTGCTTTATCACTTAGCTTAACCCCATTCTCCAAGTGTGTTTATAAAAGGATAACTTTGTATATAAATCACAGTGAAATTTATTTTTTTGCAGTGAAATTTAAATTATAAAATCTTTTAAAATGGTATTCAGTGTTTTTGAAGAACATAAATCATGTAAATCTTTAAAATACTGATCATACTATGTACTCTTAAGAAATAAGCTGTTAAAAAGTAAAAATGAGGCTGTTAATTTGAACAAATCCAGAACAGTTCTAGAGGGAGGCAAACAAGGAAAATTAAAGACAGATTGGGTATTAGAGGAGATTAAGAAATTGTTGATATAGTTAGATGTGATGATATTACCTCTTATTGATAAATACTGGAGATTTTGTGGATTAAATTATGTGTTATCTGGGATTTATCTTAAAAATGTTCCAGGAGGGGAAAAAAATAAAAGTATGAGGAGCTGGGGATGTAGCTGAATGGTAGATGATTTGCCTAGAATGTGCAAAGCCAAAGAAATCATGATTATAAAACCACAGATGAAATATTGGCAAAAATTTTGAAACTGTATGGTGAGTACATAAGGGCTCACTGTAGTACTTCTGTATGTATTGAACAATTTTATAACAGTACAATTTTTTTAATAATTGGAAATTTTCTAGGAATTTATTAATTTTCAAAAAAATGAAAAAGGGAGATTTTGCTAATGAAAGATAGATTAAAAAATAGTTTGTTTTATCCCATCTGCAAAAAAAGCATTGCAGCCATCCATTTTTTTGTCTTCTTACTAATACTACCGGAATAGAGAAGCAAGTCCATATTAAAAACAAATATGACCTTGTAGTTTTATCTTGATCCAATATATTGGCATTTTTAAAACTTAAATGTGAAAATTCACATTGAGATTTTCTCTGATGTATCGCCATGAGATTTATATCTCAATTATTTTATATATTTATTGTTTTCAGTACTGGGGATTAAATGCAAGGGTGTTCCACTATTGAGAAAATCCCCAGCCCTTTTTTAATTTCAAGACAAGGGTCTTGTTAAGTTTCTCAGGTTGGCTTTCAGTTTGTAATCTTTCTGCCTTGCCTTTCCGAGTAGTGTGGGTTATAGATATGTACCACTGCACCAGCTTGTAGCTCATTGCTGATGATAAATATCTCATTAAACTATGTACCCTTAGTGGAGATGATTGCTAAAGTTTGTAGTGTTTATTCTTACTCCGTATTATTATAAAATTTTTCACCAAGATTTTTTTTAAATCTCCTTAACTATACAAGTTGGTCTATGGAAATAACTGGTTTTTGCCTTGAATTCTAGGCTTTTGACCTATATGAACAAAGATATGCTGCTGTGAAGATCCATCAGCTTAATAAAAGCTGGAGAGATGAGAAAAAAGAAAACTACCACAAGTAAATATTAGTACTTTATGATTTTTATAAACTGAATTTTGTAATGGTCTTGGAAAATTGATGTACTCTCTTCCCATAGACATGCCTGCAGAGAGTATAGAATACACAAAGAACTGGATCACCCCAGGATAGTTAAACTGTATGACTATTTTTCCTTGGATACAGATACGTAAGTGAATGTATGATTTAACTTTTAAGAAAAGATATGTTTGCTTTTGCTTTCCCTGCCCTTTGATAACTGTTCTCCATTTCCCCATTGTCCTTCTGATTACTAGATAATAGTTATATCTAATTATTTTTCTCTTCTCCTATCTTAGGTTTTGTACAGTGTTAGAATACTGTGAAGGCAATGACTTGGATTTCTATCTGAAGCAACACAAATTAATGTCAGAGAAAGAAGCTAGGTCTATTGTAATGCAGATTGTAAATGCACTAAGATATCTCAATGAGATCAAACCTCCTATTATACATTATGATCTTAAGCCAGGTAATTAATGAAATGTGTCTAATAATTTTTAAGCTCTTAGCAGCATAGTTTTATAAAATCATGTTCTTCTAAGTTGTGTAAATATGCTCATTGATTTCATTCTTAAAACTTAAATGGAACACTAGTAGAATTAAAGGTGCTTTTATTATATTGCCACATTTAAACTATATATTTACTTCCAAGAAGTTAATTTGAAACATTAGTGTTTTTCATATATGTATCAAAAAATAATGTTATATTTTATTCTTAGGCAATATCCTTCTGGTAGATGGGACAGCATGTGGAGAAATCAAAATTACTGATTTTGGCCTGTCGAAAATTATGGATGATGACAGCTATGGTGTAGATGGAATGGATCTAACCTCCCAAGGAGCAGGCACTTACTGGTAAATATATACTAAAAATACCAAAATTACCTACATTAGCCCCAGTATTTTTATGAAAATTTAGTTTTATATTCAGGTAGTCTTTGATATTGTTGTGCTGAAAGTATTGATATTGACCTCTGGGTTGAGAGGGAGAAACTGTGGTTCTCTTTTCTGTTCTTAACTCCCAAGCATCAGCAAACTAGAGAGAATGACTTGTTATTTAGCAAGTGATGTCAGTATCTACCAACCAAAAACTTCTAACTTAGACAATCTATGGATTTATCTTCTACGCTATTATAGTGATGCATATCCTACATATAAATACTTATATAAATTTAATGCCTTAACTATTATAAGTAAAAACTATAAACATCAAACCTTCTGTAGAGGTTTTGTGGTTTAGTTTTTTGAGATACATGGATGTTTTATTCATTACACATATGACAGATTTATCATATTCTTAATCTTGAATGTGACTGTAAAATATCCTTTTTAAGGGCTTCAGATATGTATGTACATCTAGATAGAAGCAATTCATAAACATAAATCTCTTGGGGTTTTTTTTTTTTTTTTTTTGGTACTGGGGATTGAACTCAGGTCCTTGCGCTTACAAGGCAGGCCACCAAACCACTGAGCTAAATCGCCGGTCCCATAAATCTCTCAATGTCACTTCAATATACTGTACCTAGATGTTTACATAAACTGTCACTCTGAATTTTCAAACTTTTTGTCATATTCACCAAAGTGGAGAACATTACTATAAAATTTCAAAACATTTCACAGAATAAGTTTAATAAAAGGAATTAAATTTTAATGGGAAGTGAACTGCAGTCAACTTCATTGAACAGGACTGTGAATAGAGATGGAACTGGGCCTGTAATAATTTGTTCCACAAGATGTCACAGATATGTGAGGATTTTTTTTTGGGGGGGGTATGGGGACCGAACTCGGGTCCTTGTGTAGTAGAACCACTGAGCTAAATCCCCAGCCCTAGATCTTACTTTTCGCAAAGAGGAGTTAGTTACATTATGTATACTTTTTTTTTCCCCCCTGGTAGTGGTGCTCAAACTCAAGACTGCTTGAGAAGCAGGTGCAGCATCTCTTGAGTTAAATCCCCACTACACACTATGTATATTTTTAAAGCCATTTGAAGTTTAAAATTCTGCTTGTTACATCTCCTAGCAATAAAGTATAGATAAAATAAGATGTCTGGTTTTTTGTTTTGTTTTGATATCAGATCGAACTTGGACCCTTGTACTTGCAAGGCAAGCAGCCAAACCACTGAGCCAATCCCTGGCCCACCAGTGTCTGCTTTTTTTTTTTGAATTTCATATTTGAAGGAAATTATCATACAAATTTTTAAGCCCCAGAGAGTTTCAGTCAATACTCTTTAGACCTTTTCCTTTAGCAACAAGGCTTATGCTTTCATAACAATTTTTGTTTGTTTGTTTGTTTGTTTTGTTTTTGAGCCAGGGTCTCACTATGTAGTTGAAACTGACCTGGAACTCACTGTGTAGCCCAGGCTGGTCTCGAACTCACAGCTATCCTCCTGTCTCAGCCTCCCGAGTGATGGGATTAAAGGCGTGTGCCACCCGGCCTGGCTTTCATAACAAAATTTTTTAACACTGGTAAAAATGGGGCCTTGGTAGAACCCTGCACTCCACAGGGACAGCTTGAAATCCATGTTCTGAATATGAAATCATTTCTCCTCTGTGGGACATTCTTGTTATTTGTGTCCCTCTCACTCTGGCTTCACTAGTTCAGGACAGGACAAGGAAGTTTCGCACTTACAGGTGGGCCTGAGACAGGGTAACTTGTTTTAGGAGCTGTACAGAAAGGACAGACTATCACGACATTTCCACATCTACATACAAATACATACATATGTATTTTCCAGAGAAGCAGTGTTCCCCGAAAATGGTTAATTTCTGCAGTCTTTCTAGTTATTTAGCTATCTATATTGGAAGTTGTGATGGCCTATACTTTTAGAGTACACATGTATAATGCTTTTATAAGTTACCTGACATCCCCAGAAACTTAGAATTATGTCAGTATTAGAAATTTAAAAATCAGCCTTGTCTCTTCCTGGTGTCAGGTGCAGTTCCTCACTAAATCCTGGTGGACACTCTCCCTTAAATATTTTTGTTGTCTGTTCTGACTGTGTATATAGTGTTAAAGAGCATGCATGTTTCCCTTAATGCATAGATACCCAATCAATAGCCACTTTCACTGATAAAGCAAATCTAGCCTTTTACTTGACTTGGGGTGTAGGAAAAGTTTTCCGTCATTAGTGAGTCATCTTTGGAGGCTCTAATTTACAGAGATCCTTTGTCTTTAAGAGATCATTCAACATCTTGATGGAATTTAGTGATTTTAGTATATTGAATATAAAACTGAATTTTTAAAAAAGTAGATGCCCATTTAGCTCCATTATTCCTTTTCATGTTTTTAATTTATCTAAATTTTGGGGGTATGAGATGCTTGCATCCTTGATGGACCTTTTTACTTATAAACTGAGATGATACATTTATTTGTATCCTTCCATTATCAAAAAGTATAAATTTATAAATAGGATTCAATAAATAAAGATAGCATTTTTTAATACTCATTATATTTTAGAAACAGCTAGTGATTGAAACTACATGTGCATAAGAATTCCTCACACTGCTCCAGTCTTGTGTGTAAGCCAGTGCCATCACACGGGTACCACACTGCCCTGCCCTGGCAGGGGGAGGCAGCAAGGCCTTGCCTGGAGGAAAGCAGCAAAGCCTCATGGAGTCTGAAAGAAAAAAGGCACTCACCAAGTAACACTGAGTGAGCGGTTGGGGAGGATGCAGAGGCTCAATAGCACCCAGGAAAGAGGAGAGCGGTGTGAGGAAGCCAGACCGCCTGAGAGTTGGGGAAGAGAGGGATCGCAGTGGGTACAGAGTCTGAAGTTTCTGATGTTTCCAGATTAGGATGGGTATATGAGATATTCAGACTATCTTGTCAGCAAGTTCTCTGCAGATGATTGAAACAAAAGAACCATGTGATCTGATGTGCATAGGATGATCGGAATTATGGTGAATGTTTAAATTAAAAAATTTATTAGGGTAAAAAAACACATTGCCATTGGTCCCCTCAGAACTTGCCTCCCCTTGACCTCAAGCACACTTATCTCATTGTTCTTGCCACTTTGTAAACCAGTTTTGGAGGTCCTCATTTGTGAGTCTCTTTATGAAGTATGATCCAAAATATGACTAATGCCTTAGCTCATTCCCCAGTACCGGGAGAAAAATTAAAATATGGTTAATGGTGCTGTCAGGTAACATCAAAACGTTCCCGTACAGTGGTGGCGAACCTATTGGCATGTGCATGAGTACCGCAGCAGGCTGTGTGTATCAGAAGAGCTCTAACAGCTTTGCCATCACTGATCCAGTGTGTCCTCATTCTCTTTCTTCACTGGATTTGGCACCACGTTATTTTTGGCTCTTTCCCAGAGTCAACATGACCATGTCTATGAAGGGTAAATGTTTTGAATCCATTTAGGACAGCAATGCAAATAAAGACGTAAAAGGAGACTTCCAAAACTGCTTCAGAAAACGGCAAGACTGATGGGATAAGTATGTTCTAAGTGAGGAGAAGTATTCTGGGTGGGATTAATGGCAATAGCTCGTGAATTTGTTTTCAATTTAAACATTCACCATATGTTTTGAGAACTGCTTACAGCTCAAACCGTTTGTGAAGAGGGATGAGAGAGGATTTCTTCGCTTATTAAATACTCAAGTTAGAATATTGTAATCTCTAATGATAATTTTTTGTTTCTGTTGCTATATTATGTAGACATAAATGTTATACTGTACTTTCACAAAGTTATATTTTGCTCTAGAGTTAAATGACAAGAACGCTTAAGATTTATATAGGTAAAATAGAGTGTTCTAAGGCATTGAATGTTTTAGAAGGTTTTAAATTCAAGATTGTTAACGTTAATATTGTTTTTCTTTTTTATTCCCCCTGAAACGATAGGTATTTACCTCCTGAATGTTTTGTTGTTGGAAAAGAGCCACCAAAGATTTCCAACAAGGTTGATGTGTGGTCAGTTGGGGTCATCTTTTTTCAGTGTCTCTATGGTAGAAAGGTAAGTTACAGTTATATAGAGATAAATTAAGTTGAATTTTCCCTGTCAAATGCAAATTTTCACTACTTGATGTAAATTTAGGTCCTTCCAAGTAAAGCCAGGACTCTTAAACTTTTCACAGATTAGAATCAGAATTATTTTAATGTTATAACAGTTTACTTGGCTTTCTTCCCCTCCCACCTGAAACTGTTAATGCTAATATTTTTTGTCTGTTGAACACAAGAATCGAGATGTTTTTTATTATTGTCTAATCTCTCTGCTTTGCCTAACACCTACTACCATCCCACCTCTATATACACAGTTCAGCCTGGGCATAGTTTGCCCCTTGACTCCTAGGAGAAATGCTATCAAACAGTCTTAATTCTTTCCAAAGCTCTTTTTATATTGAAATAGTAAATACAGGTTGCCATAGATATTATCTGGTATGCATCCCACCCCACCCCTACATCACTGTGAGAAGAAGGTGAAGGGACTTGTCTGGAAAATCACAGCATGTTAACACCAAACTCAGATTTCCGGACTCCAAGTTAGAGCTCTTTTATTTTAATTGCTTTGCAACAGCATTATTGTCTCCTTTTTACAGTATTTTGTGAAGTTTGATTAGATGGGCTTTCACAGCTTGCAGTCAGTTTTAATTTTGTATCTGTGAAACTACATATCAACTTTCAAATAACCGAGGACAAGATTTTAGAACAGATCATTTGGGGGGTTCACTGATGATATCTTTGAAATATTTTGTGAGATAAATCTCTCAATGTTTTATTTATTTATTTTTAAGCCATTTGGTCACAATCAATCTCAACAAGATATTCTTCAAGAAAATACAATATTAAAAGCCACAGAAGTCCAGTTTCCTGTAAAACCAGTTGTAAGCAGTGAAGCCAAGGTATTAAATTCACCTAAATAAGTTTTATGCAGTAACTTTTAGTTGTGCGTGTAATATGGTAAGTACTTAAGATGACAGGAGTTGCTGCTGCACGAGTGTTTGACCAAAAGGGGAAAGTGATTTGCTCAGGAAGAGAGCTGTTTCAGCCTTTTGTTGTGATAACTTGCATCATTTAAGTGCCCAAACATGGCTTCTAATTCTTTGTGCACTGTCTTCTTACTTTGAAAATGAGGGAAAATCAAAAGATCTGGGCATCATTACTTTTATGTCTTATTTAATAAGTTTATGTTAATACTGAGATATTTAAGTATATAAACACCAAAGTAACCTAGGAATGGGAGGCTGAGGCAAGAGAATTAAAAGTTTGAGCCCTGCCGGGGCAGTTTATTGACTAAGTAAGGATCTCAAAACAACAAAAAAGATTTTAATAATAAAGGTGCTGGGAATGTAGCTCATTGCAGAATCTCTTAGTTTAATCCCCAATACTACCTAATTTTTTTAAAGTAGCAATAATAACTTCAATTTATTTAGTGCTTTTTAAAGAACATTATGATGCATAGGTACCTCATTCATGTTTTGTAAGTGGAAAACCAAGCACCCCATAGCAAAAATGCTTCTTAAGAATCTTACCGCCCTGTAGGTGGCAGATCCATGGCTCAGAGTATCCACTCCTGCCGAATACCAGAACCCACATCCTTGACCTCTGAACTGTCTCACTGTAATTCTTGAGAGCCAATCAATATAGTATAATCCATATGCATCCAGTATCTAGCTCTGACCCATGTATGTGTGTGTCTTTGTAATAAAATAAAAGTATTTTTAGGGCCAGAGATTTAACTCAGTGGCTCTGCTGCCTACCTTGTAAGCGCAAGGTCCTGAGTTCAATCCCTGATGCCAAAAAAAAAAAAGTATTTCTAATAACAAAACTGTTTTGATGCTGGATTTCTTCCTCTGTTCATCTTGTTGGACTATCTTATTTGTATTTTTACTCCTGCTTTGTCATACTTTCACGTAGATCATTTCTCTGTGATTTTCTGTTACAATCTTTTTTAAAATCCGTAAGGCACAATCCCATGAAGTTCTGTTTTTTTCTAGTGTGAATAGTTAGAATAACTCATAAGCAGGTACTATATAATTTCTATATTTCTGTTATTCTTCTGTAGTATAGGCAAATGCTGCTAGATTTTTTTTTTTTTTTTTTGGTCATAGTAGCCTTCGTAATTGAAGATGTGCTGAGTTTTGTGTAATCTCATTACATGTTTATTGGACCTGTCTAGCATTTTATTCCTTAAACTTTTATTCACCTCATAAATCATTTCAGTGATGGTTAAAAGATTTTGACAGATAAATGCAATGCTATTATTTTAAAACATGAATTATTTTCATAAAGTATAAATATTACTCCTTTAAAACAATACCACTATCTAAATCTTCTTTCTGTCTTGCCTCAGTGAAAACAGAAATTTCATGAATTCAGTTAAACCAAGTTCCATTCATTTATTTATTTATAATACTGACAAATTGCCCTTAATGAGTGGATGGAAGCCATCTCTGGTTCTGGCGTTAGGCTTGTCATGGTTTCCTTAGTCACCACTCTTGGGGGAAGGGGTTCCATGGGGCATTTAAAAAAAAAAAAAAAGCAAAACCCACCTTACTCTATAGAATGCACTTTTATCAACCTGGTTTGACTATTTTGGCTTCATTTACTTATCACAGACTCCTTAAACCTAACTTTGCTTTTGAGAGCCTTTCATTGCCACAAACTGCCTCTTAACATATCAGTCACCTTTTTTTTTTTCCTATCCTAATCATTTTCAAAGTGAACTCTGAAACTTAATCTGTTAAAGACCAAAAGTGGTAAACCTATTAAAGCATCAGATAGAGTTTCCATAATAACACTAAGCTAACCACAGTAAAAGGGTGAGAATAGGTAGGTGTGTTTTTAGAGAGGAATGTGTTTTTAATTAATTTTAAAGCAAAAAGGTACAAAATGGTTACTTTTTAGTGTGATTGAATGTCTAATTAATGCTATTTATCCTGTAAATGCTTTAATTTGCAAATTTATATGGCAGCTAGGAATTTTAAGACAAGCTAAAGTTGTTTCTTTCGGCAACGAGGAAGAATTGTCGATTATCTCTTGAGAAAATTTTATCTGATTCCAAAAAAAGATGAATTTCACAAATACACTACTGAGTGAAACAAGCCAGGCAAAGGAGAACATAATCCATGATTCCATTTATACAAAGTTCAGAACAAGCCAAACTGAGCTATGTTATTAGAAGTCAGGGTAGATGTTCCCTGTTCATTTGGGGACAGTCAGGGCCTGAAACAGAAGGGGCACAAGGAGGCTTTTGAGGTTTCAGTAATGTTCTTTTTCTTGATTTAGTTCCCAGATACATAGATATATTCACATTGTGCTGTACACTTACGGTTTGTGTTCATTTCTAAAAGTAAACTTCTGTAAAGACTTTCTATATGCTGTACTGGAAGAGTAGAAAGTAAAAAGGATAGTAGTTATATTCCATTATTTAGAGTTTTCAAAATTACTATGATGCACAGAGTTAGGAAGTACTCAAATGTAAGTGTCAATTTAGTATTATCATCACCTGAAGAAGTCTGCATCCTCAGTAGGGAAAAATATTGTGTCTGAAAATGACATCTTAGCATTTGGCCAAACAAAACTGATAATAAAATGGGATAACTGTGAGAGTATTGTTTAATAAAAGAAAGATGCTAGAAAAAAGAGCCTTAGGAATTTTGTAAGCAGTGCTTACAATCAGTTCCAAGGGAAGCAGTAATGATTAAGACTGTAATGTGGCACTAGGGGTTGAGTACAGAGTTGAATTTGAATCAAAAACTTTATTGCTACAGATTTTTTAAGGTATCAATTTCCAATAAAATTAGGTCTATTTTTAGTCTTAAATGTGTCTGTCCTGTTGGATTGATTTTAGAAAGAAAAAAGATCATTTTAATTGCTGACTTTTTCTCTTTTAAAAAAGGCCTTTATAAGACGCTGTTTGGCGTACCGAAAAGAAGATCGATTTGATGTGCACCAGCTGGCGAACGATCCATACCTTCTCCCACACATGAGAAGATCGAATTCTTCAGGAAACTTACACATGGCTGGACTGACGGCATCTCCCACTCCCCCTTCTTCAAGCATAATCACCTACTGACTTTCCTCCAGGATCGGCATGATGCCTTTGAATTGCTTCCAGATGCACACTTGAGTTTTGAGAGCATTTGAGTGTTTTTTGTTTTCTTTTTAACACAGGACAAGGTTAAGGACTGTTTGTGAACTGAAATTCTTCATATCGTTGTTTGTGTGAGAGTGGATCATGGACAGTGAATAAACGCACGCCTCTCACGCTCACCTTGAGTGGTGTGGGGTGGCTGCCTGCTGCAGAGACAGGAATACCGTGTGGAGATAGAAGAAAAATGGGATTGTTTGTTTATGTGGGGGAACATTGTACATAACGTTTATAATACTTAAATGTATTTGATTGTTACTAGAGAGTTCTAATATGAAGGGTAGTTTTTCATTATTTAAAAACACATGGAAAAAAATATGAGACATTTCTAACACAAGAACTACAGTGCCTGGATACATTCTTCAGCCTTCAGCAGTTAATCTGCTGAAACCAAAGTAAGAACTGAATGACAGTGGCCATTGTGTTTTATAATAGAATGTGAAAGTTAGAATCTCTGGACAGAGTTAGTCTTTGTCATTTGCCTATTCTGGCTTTTACCAAGTTGTACCTCGAAATCATATGTCCGTTTTTCTTTCCACTGGTTATATTAAAGGGAGACCTTTTATTCTTAGATACTTTACACCTTTGACAGAAAAAGCTGTTTGTTTTGGAATCAGTTGAATTAACTAAATTGTAAAATTTCCAGTGCTTTCACGTGTTATTAACAGGTATTTTTCTTTTGTTACCAGGCCTTGTGCATTAAAATGAGAGAATACGTAACCAAATGCAGACCAGTTCTATGCAGGATAATGATAAATTCCCTTCTAGCTCTATTGTAAATTGTTGTACAGATGTCCTGTTTCAATTACTAAGTTTCAGCAGCTTATTCTTGTACAAATGTTTTAAAATATGGCTTTTCTAATTGGATATTGTATTTTTTTTAAGTCTTCTTGAAGGCGCTTTAATTGCTGCTAAATGACGTTGCTTCTTTGCTAAAAAATTAAATGACCTATGAAGGTGCAAGTTGACTACATCATAGAGAAATATTAAAAGAGATATTGGGCATTCACTAACAATCAAGTCATGTAAAATGACCCACGTTGGCCATATTGAGTTCTTCAAGCCAGTTTCCTGGGTTCTAGGGCTGTGGAGCACATAGATTCTAGATTTATAAACTGTTCATGGTTATTTGACATTTCTAGAAAGGTTCTTACCATCAAGGTGGGATGACGGTCCCATAAACAAGTTTCTTGTGGTTTGTACAGATTTGTTAAAATGTGAATACTTCCTAACTGCCTTGTATGGTAGAAACCAATATTTTTTAGGATGTTGTGTTTCACTCCTATAAGGATTTTTTTCTTCATTGTCACATTCATAATGCTCATACTTACATGTAAGTTGTCCATGTTGCAGAAAACAGAAACTACCACAAAATCCCCTTAATATTGTACAGTTAAACTGTGGCTCTTATTTCTGATGTTGAAAGCCATTATGTTTTTTCATTGTACATAGACACATTGTCTCTTTAAGATGCTGCTGAAATTGTAGAGAATGTAGCCAAAACAGTAATAAACAATGACAGTTAAAATGTAAAGACTATGAAAATTACATTCAAAGAGAGCTTTCAAGAGTTAGGATATTGACTAACTTAGCTCCTTCACTTAAGAATCAGCTGAATAAATTCTTTAAGTATACTTCAAGACAAGTATGAAGTGTTTCAAGCTGTTAAAGTTAAACCTAATCACCATTATCGAGGCTAATCCTGGTAAGTAACACTTAGGACTCCGTGGAGTGGCACAAGGGCTTTACCTGGTTCTCTGTAGACTGATAGAAATTTGACGGTACTGACAAGGCCCCAAAATGTTAGCACAGGTTGAATGCTTTTAAGGCTGCTTGCAAGCTTTCCAGTTTTGTTTTTTGAGTTTTTGTCTTTCTGGATCATAAAGTACTATATTTATAAAGTAACTGTTAAGTCCTAAATTAAATGCCCACTCTCATTTAAAACGTTGGGGAGGTGTATAAAGTAGATGTGTAAATCTAGCAAGAGGCTGAATAAGTAGTAGAGATCTAATTCACTGACTGCTTCACCATGTTCTTTTCAAATGACTGAGAGTAACTGGTAGTGTCAAGATGTGGAAGAGAAGGAAAACAAGTCATAAAGTGAAACTGCTTCCTTGACTTGAGTTTTAAGGATCATTTTAGAATCAAAAGTGTAGCTGGGAGCACTCTAGGAGGCTAGGGAGGAGGGCTGCAAGTTTGAGCCCAGCCTAAGTGGCTTAACTTAATGAGACCCTCTCTCAAACTTTAAAAAGTGTGGGGGATGTACCTCATTGCAAAGGCCCTGGGTTTAATCCGCACTACCACAAGAATGAATAAATGAATGAATGAACGAACGAACGTACAACAGCAGTGGCAAACCTTTTAGAGTCTTCAACTACAGTTTGTGTTCCATAGGTTCGCCACCCCTGGTATAGGAAGTGTATCAACTCACAGACCCATGCCTTCTAAAATTTTCTCAAACAAAGTCCTATAGATTTTGGATAATTTGGCAGTAACCAAGCAAGTCCAGGATGGCTCAGTGAGGCAGATGAAATAATTTACTGTCACCCTCACAAGAGGAAATTGGTACCTACTGCTAAATAACTTTAAAGTTACTATGGCATATATTTGGAAGCTTGTTTTCTAGTCTTCCTTTTTTTTTTTGATACTGGGGATTAAACTCAGTCCTTGTGCTTGCAAGGCAGGCCACCGAACCACTGAGCTAAATCACCAACCCTTCTAGTCTTCTGATAGTCTCAGAATTAAATCATATCTTCTAAGACAATAGAGTTAGCACGATAAATGAGAACCAAGACCTGGCATGTAAAGGTACAAGATCCCAGTAATTGTAGCTGTACTGTCTACCTAGAATGTACCAATAAATTAAATTTTTTTAAAAAAGGTAAAATGTACAGTTCTTGCATAATTTTACAAATTTTCACTTAAATTAGCTTTATGGCTGAGGTCAGTGATAGAATGTGTGCTTGGCATGCATGAGGTACAATCTTCAGCACCCCCAAAACTAAAAATTAATTATATTTATCATGTGTATGTTGAGAAGGGAGTAAGAAATTGCTGATGATTTTAAAGTTTGGAGTTGGTGAGATCCTTGATTATTTTTCTATAATGACTCAATCTAAGAAAGGTCAGGTAATTTCCTTACCATCATCCCCTTCTAAAAGAGAACTCCGTGAGCTTAGATGATACATAAAATGTGAACAAATACCTCATTACAGCAAGCCGAAATGGTGAAGTGTTTTAATGCAATACTTAAACAGTATGTTATTGTGCTGTTTTTGCTGCTCATCGTTACTTATTAGATGCAGTGTTGATTGCCATCAGATGTTACCGGCCATGTTTTAGTGGAAATATAAACTGTACATCCCATTTAAGTGTAGTTTATTCTCACAATTTAGCTACTTGCTGTTTCTTTTTTTCTTTTTTGCATAAAAATGATAGACTTCAACCTTTAACAGCACATCCAGTCTTTCTGTAATCTCAATTTAAATTTGTTATCTGATAATTTTTCAGAGATATTAAATTTTAATGTTATGAGTATTTTAAAAAGTACTTTTAGCAGCTCATTTTCAAATAGAATTATTACAGCCAGATATGGTGGCACATGCCAGAGGATTGCCAGGTAATCCCGGCACTCAGGCCAGAGGATTGCCACCAGTCTGAGACCAGTCTGGGATACATAGTTCATGGCTGGTCAGAGCTAGAGAGTGAGACCCTGTTTCAATTGATAGAATTATAATTCTTGGGCTTCAGTTTTGAATTTTTCCTTAAAAATGTCACATATA